TTAACTGAACAATAGAAAACCATGCATAGCTTTACTGCAAAGAGAAAACTAGAAAAGCTTTACTCTACAGAGACTTAAAATATTAAGGGCAGGAAAAATAATCAGTTCTTAGCATAGCAATTGTCTCTTGAAAGATTCTGAATTGATTCACAGAACATCACAAGCAGATTTTTCATATAAGCTCTACATTTCACATACTGTAGAATAAACACCCGTGCCTCCAGAGACATTGTAAAATGGATGCTTTGGTGCAGCTTTCTTGGAGGAGGGGAAAAATATGGGATCATATTAATGCACCCATATTTGCAGTAATAAATTGGTGTCAGATTTTGCATAGGTGAAAAAAAAGGCCTGAAATTATAAACTTACCCAATGCAAAAACATGTCTTTGTTTAACAGTCAGCGCAAGACATCACAAACTGGCTAAAAGGCTAGTCCAGTAATATTCGGAGTTAGGCGTTAATAGTTCTTTTTTTGTTTATTTATTATTAGATTTGAACAGGCTGTTTTGTATTGGTTACCTGACCTTTAAGACTGATACATGTAATTTACCTCTTTTTTCATTAGTTGCTCTGTATTGTACCATATTCAAAAAGCAATCTGGGCTGAAACACTCTTTATAACCAGCACAAATGAGCAGCACTGAACTGCTGTGGATGAAAGATGTTGAGTTTCAGTATTAATGAAAGATTTTAATTAAATCTGTTCATGGGGAAAAAAGCATATAAGCTAAAATAGAACAGAAAGTAGGTCTAAGCTGTGGCAAACCTTGTTAGTGTCAAATACAGGAGAAAAGCACAATGTGCGATATAGAATTTTAAAAAATGGAGATTTTTTTATTTTTTTTTATTTTTATCATTTTTAGTTACATTTTTAGTTGTTTATTTTTTCAGTTATGTAATTGAGTTTAATTGAAATTAAGTGATCAGCCCCAAACATATAATAGAATATAATCAGTGATGTTCATATTCAGCATTTAGCCAAAAGAATCCACCATATTTGGGATTCTTTTTTGGTTTCTGTGTGTATTTTTCTTTCTTTTGTTGCTTAAGATGAGGTTGCATGGTCATGTGTTTCCCTCACGTGCAAATCCATATGTTATGGACACTGGAAATCGCATAGTGTTAAGTATTAAGAAATTTAGTAATGCATATTTATATTTAACGCACATTTCAGCCCGTCTTTGCCAGAGTTTTTTTTATCAGGACCTCTTTCCAAAGAGGAGGGTGTATCTTTTTTCATCCTCAAGCATGTAGCATCAGATTGAATCTGCTAATGAGGCATTGCTGTCTTTGAAATCTCACATCTCTTTCCCCACCATTTAGAGCATGCTGGGTAATCACCTCAGCCATTCAGACTCACTGTTATGTTATTACATGCTGACATTGCACTTCCATCTAACATTTTAGATATTTAATATTTTACCCTTTTAGCTTTATTGATTTTTGCTAATATATGCTAATTCCAAATTGGTGCCCGCAACACCTACTTTCTAGTTTTCACAGGGCCATTTTGAGACTAAGAAGTTTGTGGAATGTTCTAAACACCTGTCTTGGTACTTTCCACAGGTAAACAAGTGCACAGGTAACAGGAGATGCTATTATGATTGAGGATAAAAGGAGCATTCACAAAAGGCACAGTCACCACTTGGCAAAAACCTGCATAAGCAAATAGTCCAACAGTTCAAGAACAAAGTTTCTCTACATACAATTGCAGAGTTTATAGATTTCACCATTTACAGCCCATAACATTATTGAAAGATTGAGAGCATCTGGAGAAATTTCTGTGTCAAGGGCAAGACTGACAACTAATATTAAATTGCCATGACTATCAATCCCTCAGATGGCACTGTGTTAAAAACCAACATGCTTCTGTGATGAACATAACCACATGGTCTCGGGAATACTTCCGAAAACCCTCAGTCAGTAAACACAGCTTGTCGCTGCATCTACAAATAGTTAAGATTCAGAAGCCATATATCAACGACATCCCAGAATGACTTCTCTGGGATAAAGCTCACAGAGATGTTCTGACGCAAAGTGGAAACGTGCTGTGGTCTATTATGTCCACTTTTTTTTCCTCTCTGGAAATGATGGTCATGTTCTCTGGGCCAGAGAGGAAAAGGACCATCCCAATTGTTTCCGATGCAAAATTCAAAAGCCAGTGTTTGCCCTGGCATGGCTGTGTGTTACTGACAATATTATGGGTAAATTGCACATCTGTGAAGGCAGCATTAATGTTGAGGGGTACATGCACATTTTGGAGTAAGATATGCTGCAATCTAGATAATGTCTTTTTCAGGGATGTTCCTGCTTGTTTCAGTCAGACAATGCTGAGCCACATTACAACAGCATGGGTGCATAATTAGAAAGTGCATGTACTAAACTGGCCTGACTGTACTCCAGATCTGTCTCTTAATGAAAACTAATGCCACGTTATGAAGCATAACATTCAGACTGTTGTCATATGAAGTCACGTTCATATGAAATGGCGCTAATGCTAATAGCCCACACCTCCTGATTAAGAGTGACATCGGGCAGCCCAACTCTGACCTTGATCCCTAACTTGGGGTTTCTCAGAGCTGCTCCAATCAAAATTCCACCTTCACAATAATTGATGTCAATGAATGATTACTGAGCATTGCTAAAGGGAAGGTGATGTAACACAGTGCAAAATATGCCCCTGTCTCAACTTTTTTTTGGAACATATTGCAGGCATCAAATTTAGAATAAGTGCATATATACAGAAATATAGTAAAGTTTATTATATTGTTATTATATTAATTAAATGTTTCAACATAAATATCTTGTCTTTGTACTATTTTCAGTTGAGACATATCAAAAAGGTCAAAAAGGATTTGCAAATGATTGATGTTTGTATTTGCATTTTTCTACTGTCCCAACTTTTTTTGGAATTGGATTTGTCCATCAAGTAGGCATTGTGTTTATAATGTAGAATAACAGTGGTATGGTGAGGGAAAAAATAGTTCTTATTGGGTGTGCTGGACGATTGGTAAAACGTTATCTCATTTGTCATGGGCAAAACATAATTCTGTGGTGTCTCTCAGAGAGCCTGGTTTTGTTAACTTTCAGAAAGGGAAATAGCAGCGCTAGCAGTCTTTGTGTTGTATTATCTTAAGAGTGTTATTTCTGGAGTTCATGGACAAACTAAATGTCCCGACATCGCTCTGGGAGAGAGCATTGGCTCCATATGACTGTGTTATTGGCTGCTTCCCTAATAATTTCACATGTCTGTGAATGGCCTATGAAGTCTCTGGAGGAGGCTCTTTATCTTACAGTGCCGTGCGCTGCTCTGGCACAGGGACCTACTCAGCACGAGCTGGCATTTCAAACAGAGAACAAGCAGGCTCCCACATCTTCCACGCCTTTCCCCTCTGTTTCTTTTGGTCTCTGACTTGCTCTTGCTGTCTTGCTTGCACTGATGCTCCCAGGCTGTGTAAAACATGTCAATTTGCTTGGTCATTATTTCCTTTTTTGCTTACTAGTAAATGGAAAAACATTTTGTGACAATTCAGAGCTTTCTTTTTGTCCTCCTCACACCTACACAGCTTTTCCACTTTTATTTCTGTCCATATGTTTAATCTCTTTTTGTCTGGTTCTGTCTCCCCTATTCTCCTGCCATACCACACCCCCTCCATCTAGGATATCTTTCCATCTTTCTCTCACTCACGTTATGTTAGGGGAAGTACGACTTGTTTCTCCAGTGGGCTTTAGCCTCAGTTTGCGATGGGAAGATATCAAGCCAAGAAAAACAGCAGTGTAACAGCTTAGGCTTAACAAAAGCCATAGAATATGGCGGTCCCACCCATTCTCCTGGGATAGGCCTTGTCACTCGCTTTGGCCGTTTGCTGTGAATTCAGTTGTGCTGCTTGTGAAAGATTGATGTGGTGCTAGTGCTAATGGCCCAGTCTCCTCAAGAGGCAGCCCAACTTTGACCTTGGTTCTTATTGCTGTTCCAGTCACCCATGCAGTGATCGTGTCAGCTGAAGCTGATTGTTTGATAAATACAATATAAGGAGTGTTTAAAAATGAACAGAGGAAATTTGAAGGCATGCAGACATTGCATACTGAGCAAATGAAATCAGCTTAGTTCTACTGGATGTATGCACATTTTCTAGATGTACACTTTTAACCACTTGTTGGTTATATCAGTGTTTCCCAATCCTGGTCTTGAAGCACCAAAGCCCTGCATACTTCAGCATTTTATCTGCTTTAACCCTTGATTTCACTAACTGGCCATTTTTACAAATCTTGAGTTGAAGTGAGACATAACTAATTTTGCTAATAGAAAGTGCATAAACATAAAAAGCACATTTGTTAGGGAATCCAGTACGACTGTATCCTTTCTCGTGTTTAGTTATTTATATACAAATAAAATTAAATATTTAATTTTATATTTTATTTATAAATAAGCAGCCCCGTTAAGACTGCTTTTGTACATGACCCAAAATCTTTGTGTAAATGATTACATTACGCCTTGGACATGTAAAAGAAAGTTTTTCATTTTTTTTGTTATTTTTCATTCAACTTGTGACATTCAATTATTGTGTTAGGTGCTTCTTGAAAATGTGGCTCTGTCCTCCCTGTCTTGACTGTAGAAATAGATAGTTGTGCCGCACTGCCCTCTACAGGTCATATTATATATAGTTCCCTCATATTGCTTTTAAAAGAGTTAGAGGTGACTCAATTTCCAGTCCACAATGCTCTTGTGTCTAGCAGTATCTTTTTTTTCAGATAGGAAGATGATTTTGTTTTCACACACCGCTTAACTTCAGCAGAAGTTCTTTAGCACAGAGTTGTTTTGTAGACTTTTTTTTAAACAGAGTTTAAAACACTACAGTCAAAGTTCCACATTCTTAGCCCCGTAACATCTCTGAAAAGAGATGAGGCATGCTAGTAGCAACTGGTGTCATCCTCTTCATGTAGATTCCATGCAGTGTTTGACTTCACTGAGGTGTCTTTTCTGTCCGTTGTGTGCAGACGTGAAAGGCCCACCAAGTCATCGTTTCTCATGTGGACAGTCGCCTTTCTCCGAGCCCAACATCTGGGAAAGGAAGTACTGCATCCTGACCGACAGTCAGCTCATCCTGCTTAACAGAGAGGAAGAGGTAAGTTTCTCATTCACTCACTTCTGTCTCTCATTTTCCTATTTTATTAAACTGCTGAGAATAAGGGATGGCTTGAAGAAGGGGAGTTGTGTTGTGCTGAAGACTCCAAGCTTTGTTTATAAGTTTATAAATGGATCATATTAACCCTTAGAGTTATCATTGCCATATAGCTATGATGTTTAATTACAATTGCACTGTTGTTAGTTACGTCATGAATTAAGTTTACATTCAAATGTACATTCTATATCCAAGTATCCAAGTGCAATTTGTTTGCATTTGGTTTGATAGTAACCAATTATAGACATAGCAAAAATATCAAGAATGGTTTTCCCTTTTCGTCAAATTCAAATTATTATAAAACCTCTCCCCTTCTGCTCACGGACACAAATTCAGTATTCATTTAACATTGAGTGTGCGGATATCTGACAGAATTTCTCTGTTTTCATGTGCTACGAGTGAGAAAAAGCTAATATAAAGTTACAACATGCTTTTATCATCATCAGCAGCAAATGTGACTTTTAAGGCTCGCGTCTATGACCTTTCTGATGTGCTGTGAGAGTATGCACCCCCATGACTGTAATCTGTCTGGCCTTTCCCCAGATTCCGGCAGAGGTCCATGAGAGCCCCACAGATTTGTCTTCCAAGGGCCGCAATCTGAGGAGAACAGTTAGTGTCCCCTCAGAAGGACAATTCTCTGAGTATCCAGCAGAGGGAGCTTCTGTGTTAGGTAAGACAAATGCACTGCAATGATGTTTTCTTAGGAGTTAGGAATCTGTGCTGGGGTTATATAGTGTTTTAAAAACTTACCACAACAATGCTACATTTGATGCTGGATGATCCACATTAGTTTGCTATATTTGTATTTTTAAAAACTTGGTCATCACATGAGCAAGCCAATGACTGAATTGCTATTTAATTGGTTCATGAGACAGACATTGTAGTCTGACAGCTGAATTTTAGGCAACAGATTGTGGAAGGCCAGAAACTTCCTAGCTGTAATGTAGATAATGTAACTGCTGAGCTTCTTAGGCAGATGCATCAGAGATTCAGATGGAATAATGCTGTGGATTTTTCAGCTTGTCTAGGTCACTTCTGTATTGTTTCATAAATAGGCATGCTTATCCTGTTTACAGCCTCAGATCTGCCGTCCTTTTGGTTTCATTTAGAACTTAACATCTACGATTCAAATACTAAACACTGTCTGAACTAAGTGGAATCATTGTACTGTTTAACCTATTGGCCACTGTGTGCTGGTTGATGCCTGTGAGAAGAGGTGGTTTTGGAATGTGTCTAAGAAACAAATCCAGTCTGTGTGAAGCACTGTATCAGGCTTTCTTTCTCCTCCCAATACTCCATCAAGCAAGCATGCATTGCAGTGGCTGCTTTCCCATTCTCCTGTGTCATACGTTCCCCCCGTGACCCTTTCATGCTGCTCCATTGTGGACTCCAAGCATTAAAGAGGAGGTGATTATTTATATCTTAATGTATACACTGTTTAACAATGCATCCCTCTGTCACTGAGAGAGGAATGTCTTTGTTTGGCTGTTTACATCAGGGCTGTGATGAACCTTAACAGATAAAGCAGTGAAGACTAGGCTGTCTAAATCAGAAAACCATTAACCTTTTTTGGCATCAGAATAAATGGAAAAGAAAATGCATACAGAACGTAAATGTAATTCATTATGTAACTACATAATGATAAATTATGTAGTTACATAATTACACAATTACTAATAAATTACATTAATAAATTACATTAAAATAATGTCAATTAAATGTAAACCAATGGGTTTTTCCTCCTGGGGTTCACTCATAATGTACGCATGGTTTTACATATCAAAAACATTTATAATTAACCTGGGCTTTTTCCAAGCTCTCTTTGTCCCTTAGAATTAAACAGCCTGTTTTTTGTTACTGTGTTCCTAAGATTGATGTAGAAGGTACTCTGTTCTGATTCGCTGCCCTCTATTGTTCCTCATTCAAAAAGCAGATGGAGTTAAACTGCTGCAGGGTGAATAGGCTGAAATATGCCAATGCCAAAACAGGGCTCTGTGAGAGATACTCAGTTCTTCTCATTAATAAGACACCGCACTTCTTCCCTTTAAGCAATAAGTGCTACTCCTATGTAAGCAGATGTGTTTATGCCATGTCACATGTTCACAAATTCTATCACTTTGTGTGTGTATGTGTGTGTGTTTCATATTTAGGGTGGTTGATGAATAATCCATATATCCTTATTGATGATCTTAGTTTGGCAGAGATCATATTTGACAAGCATGAAGCAAAAAAGATTATTTCCTGATCAATGTTTATTGCTAGTGCTCACATGGAGACCTGAAAGAAGTTTTTTTCAGTTGTGAAACAGATTCTCCTGACATTTTTATAAGCAAATCTAGAGGGCACTGTGAGTTACTCAGTTGATGCGGTGTTCCTTGCACCCGTTTTGCCCCACTCCTTGGTTTATATTGTCCTATCAATTAAATGAAACATTTTATTGAAATAAATTGAAAAGCATAAAAATAGTTCATAGAGCGGTGTCATGGGACAAGCTGTCCTCGTGAGCTCTTCTTGAGTTTGAGCTCGCTATAGTTTTCTTGGTAGCTAAATTAGAATATGACAGAAAGTGAAGTACATACACATTAATACCTAATATCTGTTCTATGGGAAACCTCAGGCTATAATTAGTAAATAAACCTCACTGTTTTTTCTTGTTTGCTGGTAACGCTAGCACTGCTTTAGCCATTTCAGCTGATGAGTCTTGTCCTGCTTCCTCTTTGCAGTTCACACCAGTATCTCTGCTATTGTGTTCCTTTCAATGGCCTTTTAGAAAAGAGAAGCCGAGTGGGTTTGACCAGCTTTGGGCACACAGGCTTTTCTACATTCCTGCACGTCAAGCTAGGGCTGAAAAGGCAGTGAACAACATCGGTTGCTTTTGACTTATGCTTTTAGCTTGAGTTTTCTGATGTTGTTTGGTAGGAGAGATGTAAATGCAAATTGGATTTTCAGGACTAAAATGGAGTTCTTGGGTAAGTTTTTAACTTCCTGCATGTCATAATTCGTCTCAGGGAGTTATACTGCCATTTATGAAATTAGCATCTGATGGCTAGAAATGTTCAAATATGTTCCTCGAACATATACTAAACATGTACCATAGCCTGCAGTTTTAAGTCCTTTATGCATATCTGGTAATTTAGGTACTCTTTTTAATCGGCATGGTGCTTGTGACATTTGTTATAAAACTGGTGTCTCACAACTGTTGTGTATTGTTTTTGACTGCCACTGGTTAGTTCAATTAAACAAAAATACTACTTTTAAAATCTTCATGTACTCGATTTGCAGATATTATTATTCCTCAAACAGTACATTTACACCCAAATTTTATTACTAACAGTGCATTGCTGTGTTGATTCCTGTGACATTAACTTGTTGCCCACATCCATTATTTCGCCAGACTGCACTTTTGTCCATCGTTAATGGACGTCCATGAGAAGATTATTCTGAACAGCCGTTGTGGCCACAGTTATTGTTTGTAGGGGATGGGGGAGCAGATGGGTTGATTACTCTGCCGTTTCCACCTCAAGTTCTTACGTTTCCAAATTATATGCAGTTGGTGCGTTACTTTGCCTCAGAATTATTTATCTATATAAGTCAAAGAGCCAAAGCCTTTAGGGTCTGTGCTTCAAAACTTTTAAATGAATGAAATTAATACCTTTTTTTGGGGGGGGGGTCTGGCAACAGGAGACATGTTAAGTGTATGAAATAATTATGCTCCGTCTCTCTTTAAACTCAGCTTTTGAAGTGGAGATGCCTACTTATGAGTTTGCCAGTGTCTTCGGATTATCTTGTTTGTTCTTGAGCTTCACAAAGTGGAAAAAAAGTCAGGTGTTGCATGCTTGTCTGTGATAGGTCAGCATAAAAAAGAATGTGTGTGAGTTTCAGTTCCAGGCATTAATGCTCTGACATCATCAAATTCCACTCACAAGGGATCATCTCCTAAGCAGATGAATGAAATACAGAATGTAAACATTGACAAGCTGGAGGTAACCTTGGGGCGGAAGGAGAAACATCACCTCTTGTTTCTGTTAAGATTTGTTTTGTTTACAGACATTTCAGTGGACAATGAAGCACAAGGGGGAGATAAAATAACTGATAATCATAAAAATAACAATAAAGTGAAATTCAAAGAGTATTACAATATCTCATATGGCTTGGCAGTAAGTTACCCTCCCTGTGATTAGTTCCAGTGAGAGAAATGGAAACTGTACTAGTCAGAAACCTCAGGTGGAGATTCACTCTCACCCAGCCTAATCTTCCGCCCAAGATAAGAAAACGTACCATGGCAGACGCTAATTATTGTCAGGCGTCAGCACTAATGAAAGCACAGGGCTGTCCATCTTTTCAGACATGCAGACTTGCAGGGTTTAACCTTGCTGATGTAATGAAGATATTAAAGAGACCTTTTTCCTGGTGGCTGATGTAAATTAATGAACGCTTTGGCCATTTCCCAGCTGGTGCAGCATGTGTGTACATTCATGCATGCAGATTATTCATTATGCTTATTCATCTTACCTATCACCGGAAAATGTAGAGGAAGTTAACTTATTCAATACAGAACATTGCAGTTGAGAAAAAAGAGCCTTAAAGAGCATTAGTATTGATTGACTTCAAACTCTCTGAGTAGTTTCAGTAGATAATGAAAGTTAATCCAGTGGTGACCATCCCATAAGACATCTCCCTCCCTCACTCAGTCCCTCTGTTCTTCCCTCCCTCCTCGCAGTGAGTGTGCAGCGCCTGTGCTGATGTTTCAGCCTGTGTGGCAGATGTACTCGGATCTCTGTGTTATCTCCGGTGGTGTATCAGTCTCAGGAAGCCTCAGGCCAGATCAATGCTGTAAGTGGATTTTCAGTAGCAGAGGCTGTATGGAGAGAAGATGAGCTAGACGCTCTGACAGCCTGAGAGACAGAGACACAAACACATCAGGGCACGCTGACCTTGACTTACTGCACTAGATACAGCAACCAGGATGGGGACAGGGAGGAGAGAGGTAATATGAGCTGTGTTGAAGCACACTAGCAAACAGATCACAAGTGCTGTCAAGCCCATGATGACAAACAAAAAAACAAAACATCCACACAGTCTCTGTTGTAACAAAATCTTCTTTTTCATTTCTGAAATGAGAACTTCTTCATAGGAGAAGGAAAAAAACATTCTAACTTCCATTGCCAGGTTTCCATCCAGCTGTCAAATTAAATTCAAGTGAATTACTGAAATGTTCAAATTAGCCTGTGTTTCCATCAGCGCTGGAGACATAAAAGAATAAAAAGTCATGCTCTCTACTTCACACTTGTAAAAACGCTTGGGAGAATAATTGAGAGGGTAATTCTCAGCCGAGAGATCTTCATTGTTGAGCAACTTTTCATTGCTTATATGCTTTCATTACTTTTATGGCTATTTTGTACAGTATAAGAGCACAAAAACAGAATGCATTTATCCGCTGCTGGTCACATTACGAACAAGTCTTTAATCCAGGGGAAAAAAAGCACATGCTGATTAAATGAGCTGCTTAATGCAGTAAATGAATAAAATATCCTGTCTCTGCTACAAAACGATGCCATGAATGGCAAGTACTTCATTGACATTGCAGTCCAACTCATCCTTTTGGAAATGGAAATGTCCCAAAAACATGAAAATTCCCCTAAAGTGGCATGGAAGTTAAGTTTGTTCTGG